CCATCGCTATTGGGTTGGAGGCCATTGCTAGTAGGTTGGAGGCCATTCCTATTAGTTTGGAGGTCATCGCCATTAGGTTGGAGGTCATCGGTACTATGTACATCTACATGCCGTACCATTCCATACTACACCCTCACTGTGCTATGTCCAGACCGCTCCATTTCCACATTGGCAATAGGTAAGATCATGGTGGTGCAGCGAGAGGTAAAATCGCAGGTCTGGTTACATCCTTTGGCCTTTGCACATTTTCTACAGTGCCTAATCATAGCTAGCCCATGGCCCATAGACCATGGGGAGATGGGGTTGGATTCTATCGCTGAATTTTGCTTTGCGTCAGGATCATCACATCAGCTGCTTTCGAAAATTTGATCATGGCTTGCATCGTGATACAATTATGTTTGTTGATGATGGTCCCGTTCTCAGAGGTTGGAGGCCATCGCTAGTAGGTTGGAGTCCAGTGCCTTTATTTTGGAGGTCATTCCTATAAGGTTGGAGACCAAACACGAACGACATGTGTCAAGGTCTTGCTTCGCTTGGCCTCGCTTTGCTTCGCTTTTAATTTCTCGAGGTCTGGCAGCCTCGTGATTCCGGTGGATCCTTGGAAGTCTTCTTGGGCCAAGACCTGAGGACCAAAAGAAGGAAGAAACCAACTGTAGACCATTGATTTAGACTGAATTCTGTTCTTTATTTTAGACTCTTAGACTAAAACGACCTTTTCCTAAAACGCTAGTAGCCATATCATCAGAAGCGTGAGTTATCCTGCTCCATTCGTACGGCCCGAGACTCTTGCAACGTGTTCTTCATCGTTGTTTTCCACATCGAGTGCTTTGTCAAGCTCAGTGCAGCCAGCCCAGCTGAGTGCAGCCAAAAAGGATCAAAAAGGTACTTCTCGAAAAACACTGGACGTAACTGTTCTCAGGCATTGTACTGCAACTACTTTCGAGAATACTGGAACGTTTTCGACTTCATTTGTGTCGCTTGGCCTCGAAACTTGGAGCTCAATCGCAAGTTCTTCCCGAAGGAAAACAAATGCAAAGAGTGCATACAATGCATTCGCAATGCATTCGTAGGGTTGGCATTTGCTTTGTATTTAAATTGGTTTTGTTTTCTGCTGTTATCGCTCTCGGTAACACAAAGTCAGGTGCTGACCAGCGATATCGTGGCAATCCTTGAAGCCTCCATTGCCTCAGATTCAACGGTGAGCCATAGGGTTGCCCGAGCAGCTGAAATGCATACTTTAAACATGTACTGTGGTTGGGAAATATTGATTGTACAGCTCGAATGTTTGACTGCGCCTTGATCAAACACTGCCTAAAGTCAATGATAGTAGATGTGTGACATGTCTTTTCTTCACTCACAAGTGTCACAAGTATTTGTTGAAAAGATGTTGACGACTTGACGGTCAGGTGAATCTCAGCTCCCTTGTCAATGCCCTGCGTCAGGGCTCCCAAGACTTGTCAGGGAGACGTTCATACTGGAAACCCCGTAAAGTAACAGTAAAACGCAAAAGCACATGCAATTAGGGTGGAGGCCATAGCTACTAGGTTCGAGGCCATCAAGGAACAAAACAAGAAAAGAAGGTTGGGACCTGTTTTTTGTTATTTTTAAAGGGGGTCGGCCATGAGGTAGTTTACTAGTATAATCAGCCAAGTAGAAGTGGTAGCTTTGAAGCTACTAGTATGGATGCATTAAAGCGAAGCGCTCTCACTAATCTTGTGGTTCCTAGATTTTCAGAAATCTCATAAACACGTTAAGACAGGGAGAGACAACGCGTCCATTCTGAATTAAAGTTGATTAGGAATGGTGTAGCTCTGATGTTTTCTGGAAGAGTATGTAAGTCCACTAGCAAGCCCATACAATGATGTGCCAGCTTCATCTTCTCAAAGAGGATGGCCTCCAACCTACTAGCGATGGCCTCCGACCTAAGAGCGATGGCCTCCGACCTAAGAGCGACGGCCTCCGACCTAAGAGCGACGGCCTCCGACCTAAGAGCCATGGCCTCCAACCTAAGAGCCATGGCCTCCAACCTGAGAGCCATGGCCACCTAAGAGCCATGGCCTCCAACCTAAGAGCCATGGCCTCCAACCTAAGAGCCATGGCCTC